AAGGAAGTTGTAGTGCGTTAATTGTTGAAAATGTAGAGTATTTAAAATGAGGGTATCCTTAAGATTATTTAGGAAAGTTAAAAATTAATTATCACATATATATATATATATATATATATATATATATATATATATATATATATATGTATAGAAATATATCAAATATGAAATATTATATATACATATTTATATATATAGCTATATTGTATGCAGAAATTTTCAATCGTGGCCATATATATATATATATATATAACACTTTTTCCCTGTTATCTTGAACACATTAACACAGATGAGGCTGATCATAAATTTAACCAGCTTATATTATTATGAAAGAGATGAGTGAAAATCTCGGTCGAGAGATCGTAGATGAATATCAAATCAAAGAAAGGGGGGGTGGAAATGGTGGGGGTAAAATTTTCATTTTCCAACAATTCCTTTACAATGATTGAAAATGAGAAGAAGAATTCAAATTAGGCAGGTGTGCCTTATCAAAACGAACATTTTGCATTCAAAGACTTTTTCGATAGCTACAATGTCTTAGAATTATGAGGCTGAAAGTGGATTTTCCCATACCATTCCCTTCCTCCCCTAAACTATAAAGTTTCTAACCTAGCCGATGTCCCCCCTTCGTTGGAAGTTCTGTCTTTCAGTTTCTTCCACCTCTACTTCATTCCTAGCCCAATAGTTATGTAGAATACAGGGCTAAAATGTTCTTTTCTTATTATATTAAGAGAAGAATGCATAATGACTTTGGCCCGTGTTATTTTGTAAACACACGATAACTAGAGTAATTCTTGATTAGTTTTTGAACTGGCGACGGATATGTTGTAGGAGGTGAAAATCTCGGCCAGATTCAGAATGGGCTTAACCAGCGAAAGGGGTGGGGGGAAATGAGGAGGACTTGAAAATTTCCATTATTCCCATAATTCCCTTCGATTCAAGGATTAGAAGAAAATTCAAATAAGGCGATTATGTGCCTTATCACAAGCAAACAACTTTGTTGCTTTTGATAGCCACAATTTTTAGATTGGAGCTAAAAAGCCATTTCAATCCCTTCCAACTCGAGTATCCCTAGCTCTGTTAGCTAAAGGATAGAAAAAAAAAATTTCCATGGTAAGGAATTATCACTTATGATAACGAACAACTTTTGTCTGCTAGAATTGATTATAAGTTATGAGCTGAAAAGCGATATTCAATACCTCCCAATAATTTATCATTTCCCATAGCTTCGTTAAGATTGAAGAAGAAAGAAAATTTCCAATTAGGGGTATATCACCATATCAACAAACTACTTTTATACTGAAAGTTTTTGACAGCAAGAATTGTTAGGATTATGAGTTCCCATCAACTGCATTCCTTCACTTTTATACGGTATAATATATAATTAATTTATGACTAATTAATTTATAGTTTATCTTTTTAAATTTTTTTAATTATAACTGTTAATTGATATACCTGGCTTTGCTCGGATTAAAATTTTTTCATATTTAATATTTTCAATGTAAAATGTACTATTGCATAATATATTACACAAATTACTTTTCTGATCTAAAACGCTTTTAATTAAAATGAGAATATCAATTGAACAGACAATTTAAAAACATCCGTTTTCTTCAAACGTTATTATTTGTTATATAACATTCAAATTTTGTTAACAATTACTAAAAGTCAATGAAAGGTTTTAATTAATATTTTAAAACAATTAAATTAACTATTTAATTACTCATTAATTTAAAGCGTGAAAATGCATTTGAATCACCGATATAAATTGTTAAATCGTCTACTTTTTTAAAATTTTCTTTTAGCATTCTTCCTTCAAGAGCAGTTCTTCGTATTATTTTTGATCAATTATTGTTGCAATTCAGTTTAAAATTAATTTTGAAAAAAAATATTAAAATGGAGAAACAAATTTATGGAAATGAAAGCATGCGAAAAAAACGCTTGCTTAATTTTTTTAATTAAGTGAAATTTTAAAGCATCTTTTAGGCTTTGAAAGAGTTGGTGACCTTTCTCTTTAAATAAAGAGTTTGAAAGTTTGATTGAAATCAGTCAGTGGTTTAGGAGGATGATGGGAACATACTAGATAGCCACAGTGACTTTTATTTAAATTAATATAATTATTTGATAATCATTAACATAAAGATTGTGCATATAGTAAGCCATAAAAGGTTTTAGTGGAGGTTTTAGCAACAATTAATTTCTTAACTTTAATTAAGTAGATAGTTAATTTTTATTAATCAATAATTTTAATAGTTAATTTGATACCAAAGTTTTTTGACAGAAAACTTTAATTTGATATTTAACTAAACATATGTCAGGACAATGATTTGTTTAATAAAATCAATATAAAAGTAAGCAAAAATAAAGAGTAATTATATAAAGTTCCTTTATCCTTTTTGCTATTGAAAAACTATCTGTAACTTTAAAATTGTTATTTGGATTTTCTGCCTGAGTATTTGGTTTTAAGCAACTCGATGGAAATTTAAGATTTGCTTTGTTCAATTGGCTGCATTCATATCCTATGCTTTAAAAACACCGTATTCAATTTGCCACTCACAATGTTTAATAATTTTTTTCTCTTATTGTCAGAATTTGAGTGATTCTTATTTCTCTGTAACCAGGGGTTCTCTAAAAGGTCCATTTTGTATGTTTAAGTGTATAGTCATAGTGTTTTACCATATGACAAAGTAATTATCACACTAATTATACTGTAACCTAGAGTTAAATAAATTAATTTTTTAAATCTAGGGACCTTCTTCATTCTCCATAGAGTCAATTTCTTGCTACTGTTTCAGATAGGCTGGCTTAATGTTATCTAGGAGATATTTGCACTGTTCTGACATGTTTATTTCTTTATGATTCCTACCTGTTAGTAATGATTATGTGTTGAGAATAAAAAAAAATTGACAATGTACTGACCGATTAATCCTCACATGCTTTTTTGGAATGAAAAAGATGAATGAATAAAACCTTGATATAGAAATCAAATGACCATGAAAACAGAATGACAGCGTAAATTGCAATGTGTAGAAACAATAAATTCATTGGCTATGTCTGTATTGATCAATATATCCAATATTTCATGACTTTTGTAACACTTAACAAAGGGAATCACCTTTGCCTTCAAGCTTGCCGAAAGGAATTTTTTATAATTAATTTTCTTGGTAACATTCCCTTTTTTATCACTGAAGAAAAATACTGGTCACATATTATTTCGTTCACTAACAATGTTTTTTTATTGTATCATCACCGCAGTTTTTTTTCTGGAACAGGCGCATCAAGAAGCTCATTCACCGATTTTTTTTACTTTCTTGTAACAGAAGCATACAAGAGAAGCCATTATAATCGCAAAAGTCGCTCGAAATTTTGACGTAATTTCTCGTTTATGACCTCCCTGAATCCAGAAAAATAGAATTATGTCTCGTCTGTGAACAGAAAACTCAAAACTAAGGAACTACGGGGATGAAATTTGAGCTGTAGGCCTTGACTACACAATTTGTAGATTTCCATCGAATTTTGGAGAAAATCGTCTGCTGGAAGTCATTCTGTCTGTATGTCTCGTCCATTGAACACTATAACTCAATGGGCACTTAGACTCAGAATAGATAAAATTTAGGTTCAGTTTTATACATGAATGTAAGTCCGACTATAAAATTTTGGCCAAATCTCTAAGGGTTCGAACGTCTGTCTGTATAATCGCATACTTTTACATTATGCTCCTTGACACAAGTACTTATATATAAGGGAAATTTGGTATGTGCCATTACACTTATTGTAGATTTATGTGTCAATTATTGTTTTCAATCAGATTTAAAAACCAGCAGGAGTGTTCTCCCCTAATTTTTCTCGATATACTTTCCCCAAAAGGTGCCGTTTCCTTCCCACCCAGGTAAAAAATTCGAGACCTACTGTACCTAAGTCCAATGACTATCAGAAGGTTTTCATTATAGTGAATGATAAAAAAATATCCTAGGTAAAGAATCAAATGTCAAAGAGATGTGTACCGATTTCCGCTCTCACCAGCTCGGGATAGCTGAGCGTAATTCGCTCCATGCTTTCGCTCACAGCAGATTGCTTCAGTACGCATGCGCGTGGAGTCTGAGTTTCTTTTCAAAATGTAATTATTCAGACCGACAGAAATCAACCTTGTGACGGATTTGGCCCAAAATTTATACAGGACCTACATTATGACGATAAAACTGTGCCAAATTTTTTATCCATCTAACTATTCAAGTGTTTGAGTTATAGTGTTCGCGACCCGGACAGACAGAGCAGACTTCCAGTAGACGGATTTCGTCAAATTTGACAGAAACCTACAAATTGTATAAGATCACATACCAAATTTCATCCCCGTAGCTCTAATAGTTTTCGAGGTTCGTGTTCACAGGACAGACATAATTCCAAATTGTGTTTTTCGTCGGGAGGTCAAAACGTGGAGATTGGTCAAGATCTCAATTGCAATTTTTTTGACGATTACAATACTTTCTCTCAATACACGTATACGTATACGAAAGTAAAAGGCGTTCAATTGCTTATTCAATTTTATTCTAAGTGCACGATTTCCGAATCTTGGCGAAGCACCTTGACGCGCGCTGAAGGAAACAAGATTGGGATAAACTTATTGCATTCTGGGTTATAGTGAGATACGAATTTTTTATCAACCCAGGAAAAAGAATAGGTTGCCATGCCAAGCATTGAC